CAACAACAACAACAACAACAACAAAATAGATAAATACTATTTTCAAAGGAAAGACTTATTACCAAAGAAGAATTAGCCAATCTTTTATCAAATCTTGAACTAGACCAGGAGATTCCTAAGCTCTGGCCATGTAGTGAAGACTCATCAACAAAAAACATTGTTTGACAAGACGGCCGAGCAATTGTCTCCAATAGTAGGAATTAATCAATACGGCTTAGTATTACTTAACCTAACATCTTAAAGTTTGAAAAATGTTTTCAAATAATGAAAGTAATTCAAATTCTATGAAGAATATCATTGGAAATTTGATGTGGATGGTATTGAATTTGTATTGATCACTTTCAATATTATAATCATTTGAAAGGATTAATTCAGACACTATGACTGCAGGAGATCACTGCATCTTCTTTTGTCTTCTTAAATATATTTTATTTCAGTGCCTTTAAAGTTCACTATAGTGGATGTACATTCCTTGTTTTATTCTCACTACTAGGGTGATCTTCAACATACCCACTCCTTAGTTTGTATTAATTTTCATAAAATTCTTACTCGTTATATAATATCATCCCAGTAATTCTCCATATACCTATCTATTTAAAATGGAGTGATTTCCAGAAATGGTCAAAATCCTTTTGGTTCCCACATTACTGAAACATTTCAATTTGCCTGAATAAGTAATGTTTAGGTAAGATATTCACTGACGACTAGGGTGGGGAAGAAAATGAAAAGAAAAACAACAACATGCACAACTTGTGAAGTAATAATAGATCTTTGTTGGAAGTTGGTAGGATATTTTTCTTTTGTTGAAAATCAATTCTTTTCTCATACCACATATCCTGATTATAGCTTGCCCTACCTTCCTCCTATCAGTTCATCCCCACATCCTCTACTTTCCTGATCCATCCCTTTCTGCCTTTTATGAGAAAAGAACAGACTCGAAAGAATGAGCTTCCAAATGTGACAAAATAAATTATATTAAGATGAAGTAAAAGTTATGATACTGAAGTTGAACACACTAACCCAGCAGGAGATAAAGGGTTTCTAGAACAGGCACAAGTGTCAGTGAACCACTTGTTAAGTGTCCCATAAAGATAGTAAGCTAATAGCTAAAACAAAGCTTTAGAATATCTGGTGTAGTCCCATGTTGGCCTGGTACTTGAGTTTCAGTCTGGATGAGTTCCTATGGCCATTGTTTAGTTAGTTCAGAGAGCCTAGTTCCCCAGGTGTCCTTTGTCCCCTTTTATCATCATTGTGTCTCCTGTTCTACAGGAGTATCTAATGGAGGTGACTGAAGCATGGAGGGAAACAGTGAGAGCCGTGGAGAGAGGATCAGTGGTAGGGAAACATCAGGGAAGAAGTTGGGTTAAGTGGAGAGGCCTAGCTGAGACATTGCCCCAGCAAAAATCCAACAGCATTAAACTATATAGATGTCTCTGTGTCATTATTAATAAAATGCCAATAGGACCTCAAAAGCCTTGCTATAATCCCTGAGCTCTGAGTAGAAGGAAGTGATAAGAGCTCCAATTTAGAGAAAATCTCTGCAAAATATCTGGTTGTGGGTCTGTGCATCTGTTCACGTCTGCTGCTAGAGGAACTCTTCTGATGATGAATAGATAAGACCCTGATGTTTAATCACAACTGAATTTCTTTACAAATTATTTGAGTTTTTTTTTAAGGTCATCAATATTTTCTTCTACTCTGGGTCTCTAGGCTACCTAGGCTCTGATTCTTAGTTCCCTGAGTACTGTTAGACATGGGTTCGATCTAGTAGAATAGGCTATAAGTCAAAACAGTCATTGGTTGGCTACTCTCCAAAATTCTGGGTCACCATTGCCCTAGCATAGACAGATTGCCTAGGCAAAACATACTGTAGGTCAAAGATTTTCTTACTGAGTTGTCTGTTTCTCTTTTAATAGCCTGCAGGGTATCATCCCTCACAAAAAACCTGGAATTTAGTGAAAAGCCTCTATGTAGGCACCAGCTGACTTTTCCATGTTCAGTGAA